ATATATATATATATATATTTAAATAAATATATTAATATTAAAAATCTATTATTAAATGAAATATAATTATTAAAAATTTTAATATATATATATATATATATATGTTAATTATTATTATATATATTATATATTTATTGACATGTATACAAAAGTATACATAGATAATTTATTTTATATAATTTTTATTATTTTTATAATTTTAATCAATTAATTTAAATTTAATTATATATTTTATCTTTGATCAAGTGAAGGAATGATAATGAACTAAAAAATAAAAAAATATTTTTATGAATAATTAAAATAAAAATATAATTTTTCTGAATAATTACATTAAAAATATTTTAAATTTTTTTTATAATAATGATTTGTTAACAATATTAAATTAATATAATAAGAAAATAATAGTAAAATACTCATATCATTATCTTATAATTTATTTGATATTTTAATATATATAATATTTACTTCAATAAAAGAAGGAAGTATAATTTATGTTAAATAGACTATATTGTATACTTTAATATAAGATAAAAAGAAAGGGTAATATTCTTATATATATGTGAAAAGAAGAACGTAATTTATTCAAATAAAAAATATAAAGACAGCCTAAATAATTTTCTTACAGTGTCCAACATTAATTGACATGTGATATCGATTTCAAAGGTCAGATGAATATTTTATTCTTTACTATAACGTACTGCAAGTATATAAGTGGTCCCCTCGAATACCTTTAGTCAGTCAAATTGAGAAATAAATTGTAACTGTGTGATTTTTTTTTTAATTACATGAAAAAAAATACCTGCGTTGTGATCTATTCCCAGGGCACTATTTATAAGAATATATATAATTTTTTAGACTAAAATAAAAATAAATTTTGATGAAGACAACTTTATTGAATGTTCTTGATACAAAAATATCTCTATGTAAATAAATAAAAACACTATTTACTATGAATGTGGTTAAAGATATTTTAAAAAATGTGATATATATATTTTATGTGAATTGTACAAATTAAATATATTTAATAGTTTTTTTTTAATTTATATAAATAGTTTTATTTACTTGTATATAGGTTCAAAGGAAGTACCTTTTTATTTTCTTATATCGTCGTCTCTTTCTTCTTGTAAAGCTCATTTTGAACTCTTCCAATTCCGATGACAAGAATGGAATAGAAAGTGTTTGTGTGGCTACTGTTCACGGTTGACAACATATTGCTCTAAGTTTGATTTATACCCGAACATCAAATTACACACGTGGTCTACACAAGAACAATCACATAATAATAAAGGATTCTTTTGGTTTAACTAGTAATTTCAAATTCAACTATTAAATGTATAGTTGCATCAAATACTTAAGAAAAAAAAACTTTATCAATTATAAAAAATTTACTTGACTCGAACAGATTTAGCTCTAACATAGATTATTGGTATGAACTATAAACAAAAAAAAATGTCTACTCACATGAACCCACTCACTCAAATCAAAAGGGAAACTATACATCACAAACCTAAGGAGTGGGGGCACAGACAAATAGAATTGCACAAACCTTAGCTTTAACGTTGGGCAATCCAAATCATGGGAATTTGCACTTAGACCGTAACTCACACGAAGTTGGGACTAGTCAACATCTCTAGTCCACCAACCCACGTGATAGTGGCTAAGTTCGGTTTATATTATATCATTTTCATCTTTTTTGCACACAATCTTCCTCCTATCCTTGCCATGTTTGAGGATGATGCCGAGTTATATCAAGGTCCACCAAGAATGGAAAAGGTACTAGTCTTCATTCAAAAACCACTCAACAATGGAACCGAGAAATCTCTCTCTTTCTCAAGAAATCAAATGAACCCTTTTTCTTAACTTCAACACAATAAATTAAGGGTAAACAGTCTCTTAAGTTTGATGGTTGATCATTGGATCGATGTATATACTTTTACTTTAGTTGTGAAGTATTTACTTTTTATGGTGAAATTTAGTGAAGAAGAAAAAGGAAATCCAAACCCCGTTGTATTATGAATCATGATTACAAGGTGGAAGGAGAAGCTAGTTAGCAAAGAGTTGAAGGTTTATAAAGAGAACCATTCTTTTGATCTTACGTGTTTGCTTATTACCTGAACTTATATATATGGTTGGTGTTTGACATAAAGAGGCACCAAAATTTAGGTTGTCAACTATTTAAAATACACATTAAAAGGAGAAAACTTTGAAGTAGATAGCTAGAAGAAAGATACTAGATAATTAACACAAGGCTTAACACACTTGACTTGTACAATTTCTTCAACTTGCTTCATCATTTGGGCACCCTTCCACTTAGGAAAACAAAATTAACCAAAAAAAGTGTTAGCTAGCCATTAAAACTACCACAACAAACAAAAATGAAAGAAACACAACACCACACAAGTTGTGATGAAAGAATTAACCTTGAGTAGTGCATGGTGATTAAGAGGAACAAATTGTTTTTGGGGTGTTGCCTTTTGTCCTGAAAAGTGGATGAGATTGTGTGAGTGTGTGTGTGGATAGAAGCCATGAAACTCAGGATGGATAGCGCGAGAGAGGATCAAGAATGGAGGGAGAGAAGAAGACCATCCATGGCGCTATCCCTCCTGAGCTTTACAGATTCTTCCACACTAAAAAACAAGAGCACAACAGCAGAAGAAGGAGCTAATGACCCTTTTAAAAAAGCTAGCTAGCTACCATTATGTGACATTAAATGCTTCTGATACATGGTGGGGAGGGACGTAGCAGAGGTATTTATAGAAGCAGAGAAGGGGACGTGGGAAAATTCAGACACAAAAATAAAAGTTAAATGTGCTTTTACATTATTATATGCTCTCCATTCATTTATAAAATTTTTCACTTTTATCTCACACAAATGTTCTTGTTAAACCAACTTGCTTCTTTCTCTCATGCTAACTTAGCCATGGTGGCATCACGTGACGAATTATGAAAGATGTTATATCGTACAAGCGTTTGACATGTTAGCCAAATTTTATTGATCCGTGGAATTGAAAATTAGTACCCAAGAATTTACGATATTTACACACCGTACTTAACTAATTAAACTTGACTTTTTTAGCATTATTGGTGCGAAAAATTGACAAAAGGATGGATTTAATCTAATATAAACATTCTAAGAGCTCATTCGTGTGCTTTTGGTTTTAAAATCTAAATTTTTTTAAAACAAAACACTATAGACTAAAATGGAACTGAAATAATTGTTAAATCAATTTCAAATCGTTTTCAAAACCAAAATAAAATCTGAATTTGGTTATTAATTTTAAAAATTCTCTCACAACATTTGGTAATGACCCTACCCATTATCACTATTTATAGTTACTACTACCAACTTTGTCATTACCACAATCATTATTTTTACTATCATCCTACAATTACATATTATTACCATTATTTTTTTCTAAATCAATGCTTTTGTAATTACATAAACTCGCTCTTAAACTACTTTTAACATGATAGGAGACTTTTAAATTGAGTTTATTTTGAAACTAAAAGTTAAAGCGAGAAAAATAAAACCCCAAGCGTGTAGTTCAGCGGTAGGGGTTGATCCACACTTAAGTAAGGTCAGGAGTTCGAATCTAGGTCCTGTCTTGTGTATGCAGCCGCGTTAAATCTTGGGGCCAGCTATCCCACCTTTTGAGGTGCCTCCAACCTAGCGAGGTCCAGGAACGAACGAGAAAAATAAAATTAATATTTTAAAAGTTAAAAATTAAAACTTACAACTGGGTCATAAGTATTAATAAGTTATTGTTTCAAATGGTATTAGACTCGATTTTCTTAAATAAATTCTTAAATTTGAATCTTGTAATTTAAATAAGAGACTTTACTGAAAAATGATTAATCAGATTTTTTAATAAAGATTAGTCATCAATTAATAATTGCTTTGTGACAATATTATGATTAAAAAAATTGGATCCTAAGTTATTAAAATGTAAAAAATTTAAACTTTGAAAGATAAAACTAAAACAAAATTAATTGAAATGGGCAAACAAACGAATATTTTATATGAAGGAAAGCAACCCACTTCCTCCTATTGAATCATGTAAAAAGCTTCACTATTTACTACTATTAAGGAGTACCAAATTGACATTTTTTTTATCAGGTGGTTGCTTGCGTAGATGGGTGGGTCTAAGTTTTTTCCAATTTCACTATGTGTCTTGCTTTTGTCCTTTGAATACCCCTGCCGACTACAATAGAGTCCATTCTTTCCCTCTCCATTGAAAAATACGTACGGCTTGCAACTTTGAATTAAATTATAATTATGATCTCGTTTCAACTCCCAAATCAATTCTTTATGAGGATCACTTGCATATTCAATTTTGGGTAAACAAGATAGTTTCTATCAATTACTCTTCTTCATGTCCTGTGCTTGTTCCCTCCTTTTCATGAATGAAATCCAATCATCATTTTTTTTCACCACTTTACTTTTGAGATATATAATTGAACACTATTGTCTCTTTAAGCCCCCTTCCCCTTTTCTATATTCAACGTTTTTCTTCTTTTTCTCTTGCTGCGGTGCATTTTTCTTAAGGTACATAATTTAGGCTGCCACGGCTTCTGGACTTACCTTGTGCGGCATATGCCACCGGAACAACAACTGATTTTTGTTGTTCAATGGTGAACTGTGTGAAAAGACGTTGTTCTTCACGCAATAGCTCATTCAGGCATGCATCCAATGATGGTACAGGGTCTCTATTAATGAGATTAGACCGAATACCTTCAAAATCAGATCTCAATTTCATAAGAAATTGATCTCGTTTGGTAGTGGCATGAACTGATTGCACTGAACGCAAGCCTTCAGAAGTCAGCTTTTCATAAACTATATCAGTATATTCGGCCCATAAATTCATGAAATGAGAATAAAAATCAGAGATGGATAGACCATCCTGTTGAAAAATGGCTATGTCATGTTCAAGCTGAAATCTTCGAGCAGTGTTGTTTTGACTATAGATTTTCTTCAAGTAGGTCCACATCTCTGCTGCCGTCTTGAAAGGTCGAAGGTTCAGGACGATGTTGGGATCAACAGAACCTATGATCCATGCCATGACTTGAGCATCTTTGACCTCCCATTTGGCATGTTCATCCGTCTGGTTGTCTTTGTCAGGAGCAACAGCACGACCATCAACATGACCCCAAAGATCTTTTCCTTTGACAAATATCTGGAACTGAAAAGCCCAG